TTTGACGCGGTCGCTCAGTACCTACGCCCGCTGATCACACATTATGAAAATCATTTTTTTTTCGTTCATGATCTACGGGACCGGTATACTTTTATAGTTCTGTTCCACGTATTTTTAATTTTGATCTAAAATACTGTTGAAAATACTTTTATAATTCGTTTTTGTATTACTTGGTATGACATAACCTAAAAACCTTCAAAGTAGAATATCTATAAATACAGACTTCCTATAATAAAATAAATAAGACGAATCAAATCGAGAATCTAAACTGTATAATTTAACATGTAATTCATTTATAGACGCAAACAATTTTTTGAATAAAAAATTGTATGGGAGTTCGCCATTGTCCTTTCCGCAGATTTTCGAAACTCGCAAGGGTATCAAAACTTATAGGGTACTTCCCGTGTACTCAGAATCTTGTAATTTGGTACGAAGCTACGTTATTATCTGTTCTATTAACAGATAAAGCAAAAAAAACGAAAACAGTTACTTTTTAGTGACAATTTTTTTTAAGAATTATTATATATGTACCTACAAGTTTGTACGGAACCCTCGTTGCCCGAGACCGACTCGCACTTGGCACGTTTATTTTTTATTTTTCACTGTGATACTTATCAAATAAAATAGTAAGCGGACATCTTATACAATCTTGTTTTTATTAATAACGTTTTTAATTTCGATCACTTGTTATAAGTTTTACTTGCTGTTTAATAGTTCCACAAAGGAGAACACTTATATTAGCAAGTTCAAAAGTAACTGTTCATGTAAAACAATAACTAGGTAATAAGTTAAGAAAGGAGAAAATGTAAGGTTACTCTGTATTCTTATTTTTACTTTTTTATAAACGACTACCAGCCGCCCACGATTTCGTTCGCGTTAAACTATTTTCATTTTTCGGGTTAGCGCATAATACTTACAATTAACGTGTAAAATAAAACAAAAGCGGTAGATGCAGCCCTATAACCCCTAAAACCTCCCCAACTTTTTCTCTTAATAATATAATATTAGTATAGTCCATGTTATGTTATTTATTTCACAACTCAGCATTACATCATATGCAACAATTTAATTCAAAGTGTGTGATGAACACGTACGGAAACCTTTGTTTGCGAGTCCAACTACTACTTGGCTAGTATTTTTTTATCGTATGATGTTTTCAACTGCATATAAAATCTTAATATATATAAATCTCGTGTCACAATGTTTGTCCTCAATGGACTCCTTAACCACTTAACCGATTATAATAAAATTCGCACACCATGTGCAGTTCGATCCAACTTGAGAGATAGGATAGTTTAAATCTCAAATTATAGTCGCAATTTTAATTTATTGCAAATTATTACTTTTGGGCGGTACGAAGTTCGCCGAGTCAGCTAGTATATTATATTTTTATAGTCTATGTTATTTATTTCACAGCTCAGCATTACATCATTTTATTATTATATAACAATATATTTGATTATTCATCAAAGACCTTTCTTTGTAAGTCCGACACATACTTGGCCAGTCTATTTTTAACGTGTGATATTCAAAACTGCATACAACTAAATACCTACGGTACTGTGGTGTGGAATCTTAAAAGGGTAAAACTGAAATAATTCATAAGTACAACCATCAACCCATCAAGTAACTATAAGCTGTTCATTTTATACTAAACTAGCGGCCCGCCCTCGCTTCGCTTCGGCGTAGAGCTGAAGTGTAGACTACAGTTTTTGTTCTCAGGCTTGTATTATACACAATGACATTCATCTATGGTTTTTCTTATACCTGCATGCAAAGTCTCAGCCTAATTGGTTTAAAATTGACAAAGTTTCATTCCCTATTTTATCCCCTTGGGGGTAGAATTGATCAAAATCCTTTCTTAGCGGATGCCTACGTCACGGTAATATTATCTATACAGTATTGTGACTCCGCCCTGTCCTTGAAAATAAATGCCTACACCGAACGCTGCGTTGGCACGCGGTAGGGCCGCCAGACTACAGTATTTTATGTAGTTTTGTTTTTAACGCGAGTGTAGGTAGATTACTCGTTTGTCTCTTTTTTCATCCTAACCACTTATTTATATATTATTTCAGATATTTTGCCCGATGGAAAAACCGAAATACCTAAATATTAGAAACAAATAAGGCACTAGTAGATAGGTATATAAAAAATATTCTATAAAGGTAAGACACCTTTCCAATATTGCAGGTAATTTAAAAAATGATATCTCTGGGTGTGTTATTGAAGAGTTCAAGCAACCAAAAACAGCAATTGTGCTGTTGTACGATATTGATCGTAGTTTGTTCTTTTCCATACTAAATTATGTAGGTATCTACTTAATTAAATCAAATATTTACAATACAAAACGCATGTTTAAGAACGGCTTACTGCATAAAAAACAATTCAGACCGTTCGGTCGTCGTTACGGCGCGGCGGCGCATTCGCGACTGGGTGCATGCCGAGCGCACATCGAACTCGAGTGGCGTAGGTATGACTCGCTTTCCGACCGTTTGTATGAAGATAGAATACTGTATGATACTATTACCGTGCCTACGTCATAACATCAACCTGCATGCCAAATTTCAGCTCGATCCGTCCAGTGGTTTGGGCTGTGCGTTGATAGATCACTATGTCAGTCAGTCACCTTTGAGTTTTATATATATATATATATAGATAAATAGACTGTGAATCTAATATTGAACAAAAAAAAGTTATTAATCGATGGGGGAAAGTTAATAGTTTTAGATAACTTGATCTGTGGCTATCTGTACATACACCACAGGAAGTATGTTTTTAGGAAAGTCTTGCAAAAATCCATAGAATATGTTTTGTTGATATAAGTAGTTTAAAGGACTAATTCATTTAAATTTCATTTATTTATTTCTCAGGTTTTCGCACTCCATTTATTAAAATAGAACACTGGCATGATAGTCTGGAAAACGTAGAGATATGCATAAAAGTATTAAAAAACGCACCTTAATCCCGTTGAAATCAGTGTTTTTTCTTAGTGTTCCGTGCCTAATATACTTTCATATCTACGTATATGAGTAATAAATCAATTCAAATTAACTTATTAATAGAGTGTAGGTTCATTGCTATAACTCTAGTTCTTTCATCAAATTCTTACCCCAGAGTAAAGTCTGTGAAAATGAAAAATAATGTGTTAAAAATAAATTAATGATTAAAACAACGTAGGAACACAGACCTTCGAAAGCTGCACATTACGCTCTATACCATAATACACTGCTAGCGTTAAATTCTGCACAATATTTTAAAATATAAACCGAGAAATATGTTGTTATGAATGGAAACAAATTTATTATTATTATGTCACACGGGTGACAAACAAATTTATTGGTAACTGATATTTTTATGAAAGCTTTTCTTGTGATTGTTTCATATACTATTGCGCCCAATATTCATTTTATTGATTTTTTTTTAAATCAATTATAATAAATAAAGCAATAAGACAAGAGCATAGCTCTTAAATTTAGATAGAGAGAGATTATAATACTTGAAGCGAAAAATATATTTTGATAAGTTAATGAACTTTTGTAACAAGATATATTGGACAATGAGAAAAAGAACACAGAATTGTAACTATGGTTAACGGTACAGATGTCGAAACTTATAAACTTTTCAAACGTATGTTTATTATTCAATTTTTACATTAGCCTTACCATTTCGGGTTCCTAATAAAGTGCATAGCACAGCCTTGGCAGTGTAGAATTTAAAAGGGTAAACATACAATAAATGTATCTACTCAGCAAAACAGTATATTTATAATTTTTATTATTTTTAAAGCATGTAACTGCTTGATGTTTAAATCTAAAGAAAATATAACTAGAAAAAATTTCACGCGGACCAGGCAGCAGACGGGACTCGAACCCGCACCCTTCGCAATCCGGGCGAATGCACTGACCAATTATGCTACCGCGGCCCTCACGGACCGCGTCGAAATTCTTTCTAGCTATTCTTAAGCTGCAAGGCAGCGCCATCTCTTCGCATTATAGGTAAACCCACAATGTCAAATGAATACTTTTACAAGTATTAAACATTTGAAAGAAGAAATAGCAATTATAGTTATAATTTTTATTATTTTTAAAGCATGTAACTGCTTGATGTTTAAATCTAAAGAAAATATAACTAGAAAAAATTTCACGCGGACCAGGCAGCAGACGGGACTCGAACCCGCACCCTTCGCAATCCGGGCGAATGCACTGACCAATTATGCTACCGCGGCCCTCACGGACCGCGTCGAAATTCTTTCTAGCTATTCTTAAGCTGCAAGGCAGCGCCATCTCTTCGCATTATAGGTAAACCCACAATGTCAAATGAATACTTTTACAAGTATTAAACATTTGAAAGAAGAAATAGCAATTATAGTTATAATTTTTATTATTTTTAAAGCATGTAACTGCTTTATGTTTAAATCTAAAGAAAATATAACTAGAAAAAATCATTTGACATTGTGGGTTTACCTATAATGCGAAGAGATGGCGCTGCCTTGCAGCTTAAGAATAGCTAGAAAGAATTTCGACGCGGTCCGTGAGGGCCGCGGTAGCATAATTGGTCAGTGCATTCGCCCGGATTGCGAAGGGTGCGGGTTCGAGTCCCGTCTGCTGCCTGGTCCGCGTGAAATTTTTTCTAGTTATATTTTCTTTAGATTTAAACATCAAGCAGTTACATGCTTTAAAAATAATAAAAATTATAACTATAATTGCTATTTCTTCTTTCAAATGTTTAATACTTGTAAAAGTATTCATTTGACATTGTGGGTTTACCTATAATGCGAAGAGATGGCGCTGCCTTGCAGCTTAAGAATAGCTAGAAAGAATTTCGACGCGGTCCGTGAGGGCCGCGGTAGCATAATTGGTCAGTGCATTCGCCCGGATTGCGAAGGGTGCGGGTTCGAGTCCCGTCTGCTGCCTGGTCCGCGTGAAATTTTTTCTAGTTATATTTTCTTTAGATTAAAACAGTATATTGTTCATAGTATAAAAAATCTGATTTAAATCTAAAACATATTTATAAACATTTGAAACTTACAAACTAAGAAGTATAACTAGAAGATAATAAACAAACTATTAGAATGCGCCGTTGAGAGCTTTTGCTAGGCCAATGTTATTTGGCGCACGTCGGACAAAACCAGTTCTCGTCCGGGGCCTCCGTGATGCCGACACACGCGTAGTGGTACCACTCGTACTCACACTCGTCTCCGTCGCAGCCAATCATCGGTGCGTCTGGAACGTCCTTCCCGCAGGAACAGTAGATGCTTTCTCTGCTACTCGTGGCTGACTCCGCAGCCCACTCGCCGACCATGATCTCATCATAGGGCAGCACGTGGCAGATGTGGACTGCGAACTGCCACCTTCTCACGTTGCACTTATTGCAGCTGATGCTCTCAGTGCCGTGGCGCCAGAAGAGGTGACACACCATGACCTTATAGTCATCGTAAGTTGCAGAGCATCCACCGCAGGTATATTTCTTCGGTCGAGTTGACTCGGTCATTTCGATGCCGGCGGTTCTCATTATAAGATGATATAATATAGATATCGAAGGCAAAGTAAACTTTTTTATTCATTATATAGGTGGTTTTTAACCGTAAAAGACACTAAGGATCAGTCGTTAGCAAATGACACTATAATGAATTAAGCCTTATACAAATGTTTCCCAAATACCCACTTCATTAATTAATAGATTTGTTTGTCATAATCAATTTGTAGCTTACCTGCTTTTAAGAGTTAATTTTTTTTACATTACTGCGAGACAGAGTATTTAAAAAAAGTACAAAATATACATCTTAGGTATACTTTACACCATAATGTTAGAATTCTAAAAAGGCAAAATACATTTTCTCTGAATTCTCCAGACACGATTGTAGACACTTTCTAGTTTAAGTAAATAGTGCACGTAGGAACCTATTGTTGAGAAAAAAAGGAAAAATAAACATTTTATACTACACTTATATTCTATATTTCCTCCCCTTTCAGTTTTACTTTCAAAGGAGATTGCTCAGCTTCCATACATGTTTGGCCTAAAAACCAATAAATCATAAAAGAAAAATCCTAGATTCGAAATTATATATAAATTACTGTAGAAACGAATATTATTGATGGACACCCCTGAGAACTTCTATAAACCATATACACTGAACATATTATAATAATAAAAAAAAAAAAGTTATATAGTAAACTAGGGAAATCAAGCCGAGTACCGAAATTATGGATTAGATTCAGGTATATAGACCATGTAGATTAACAGATAGTTGCCTGTTTTTAAAGTTAATGCATTAGAGTAACTTTTAAAATCAGGTGTCATTTCCGGTTAAAATAAGGTACTCTGTGACAGTAACTGTGTGATGATTGTGAATGAGCCACAGATTAGAGAGAATTTTTAAACTCTCGTTAACCAAAGAAAGCTAAGAGATTTATGTTCTATAGCCATATATTTAGTAGCTTCATTATTTTCATAATTTTATTTATTTTTAAGCATTTAACTGCTAGATGTTTAAATCTAATGAAAAGTTTACTAGAAAAAAATCCACGCGGACCAGGCAGCGGACGGGACTCGAACCCGCATCCTTCGCTATCCGGGCGAATGCACTGACCATTATGCTACCACGGCCCTATTAGCCGCGTCGAAATTTTCCTTTCCTTAAGCTGCAAGGCAGCGCCATCTCTTCGCATTGTAGGTAACCCACAATGTCAAATGAATACTTTTTCAAGTATTAAACATTTGAAAGAAGAAATAGCAATTATAGTTATGATTTTATTTATTTTTTAAGCATTTAACTGCTAGATGTTTAAATCTAAAGAAAAGTTTACTAGAAAAAAATCCACGCGGACCAGGCAGCGGACGGGACTCGAACCCGCATCCTTCGCAATCCGGGCGAATGCACTGACCATTATGCTACCACGGCCCTATTAGCCGCGTCGAAATTTTCCTAGCCTTAAGCTGCAAGGCAGCGCCATCTCTTCGCATTGTAGGTAACCCACAATGTCAAATGAATACTTTTTCAAGTATTAAACATTTGAAAGAAGAAATAGCAATTATAGTTATGATTTTATTTATTTTTAAGCATTTAACTGCTAGATGTTTAAATCTAAAGAAAAGTTTACTAGAAAAAATTCCACGCGGACCAGGCAGCGGACGGGACTCGAACCCGCATCCTTCGCAATTCGGGCGAATGCACTGACCATTATGCTACCACGGCCCTATTAGCCGCGTCGAAATTTTCCTGGCGTTAAGCTGCAAGGCGTTTTTTCTAGTTTTTCTCATTACATTTGAACGTCTAGTAGTTAAAATAAAAAAATTGTAAAGTAGTAATGTCTTCATTTATGTACAAACTAGCTGTGCCCCGCGGTGTTACCCGCGGCTTATTAGGGAAAATAAATTGTGTATTAACAGTAAAAACAATGACTATTCACATTTTTTGAAGCAAAATAATTTAAACTTAAACATCGGAAAGATCAATTTACAAAATTAGATAACTGACAGAACGGGAGAGATGATTATGCTGTCTTATGTAATTGTTTTTGTCTCGGATCGTAGAGCGAGACCTAGAAATCACTTTACTGCAGCACATCCCGGTAAACCACAATACTCTTTACCGGACCGGACTTATTGTTTTCTGCGTAAATAAAATGTGTTTCTTGCTCTCGACACACGGGATGTGGTCCCATACGATCAATTTGCACCATTGCAATAGAGCACCACGACTACTACTATTACTGATGTTGCAAATGGGCGTTTCTTCACTTGCAAGTTTCAGCGGGAACTTGAATACTGAGTGTCCGGTTCTGCCACCACTCAGCCAGGTTGCGGCTATTCTGGAGGATGCTACAGCCAGCGCAACCACTTTGTCTTTGCACAACTGTGCCAGCAGCAAGTTCATTAAAAAAGTCTTGCCGGTGCCCCCTGGTGCGTCCAACAAATAAGACTTTCAGCGCTTCTTTAAAAATTATGTCCTTGTCGAGGAGCTCGATGGCGCAAGTGGCTAGCGCGTTCAGCTGCGATCGTCGAAATTAAGCAACTTTCGCAGTGGTCGGTCATATGATGGGTGACCAAAAATTTACTATCTCGAGCTCCTTCGTGCTTCGGAAGGCACGTTAAGCCGTTGGTCTCGGCTGCATCTGCAGTCGTTAGCACCCATCAATCCGCACTGGGCTCGCGCGGTGGGTCATGGCCCAATCTCCGCATTCCATCCATAGGGAAGGCCTGTGCCCCAGAAGTGGTGACATTAATAGGCTGATGATGATGATGATCCCTTGGTATCGGCGAGCAATGTCCTCTGACAAAGCGCTTTTTATACTTGCACCACAATTGCCGGGGGTTGGAGAGTCCGCAGGTGCTTATCATAATCGCAAAGAGCTGTCTCAACGTAGTCGCTGACCGGCACAAAATTGCGCACTCCATCGTTGCGTCCCAGTGGCCGTCGTCTTCAAGCAGCTTCATCGCCTCACATGCTTCTTGAAAAGTGGCCTTTTCCTGCCCATCGACGATTTTGAGCGCTTGAAAACTGGTAGGACCCCGGATTCTAGTAATAGCAACAGCAACCGTACACAATAGCACTCAAAGTGTGTTATGTGTACCGTATAAATTCTACCGTGGCCATCTAAGGCTTTCACACCAGGCCAACCGTCGACGGGTGCGCCCTGCACGCAACGTTCCATTGTTTTCGTGACGCATTCCACGTGCGAGCAAACTCGTCTTCCTGGCACAGTTGCTCGCTCCATACCTTGAATGATTTGACACCGTTTGTCAGTTTCCGCATCGTCGTCTCCCATAAAATACACCTGTAAAAATTGTGGCTGTTCATTAGGTGATCATCACCCATTTTGTGATGTAGTTGGCCATGCACTGTGAACGTTGGGGAAAATCCAGGCATTGCAAAAAGGACAATGGCGAAATATTTGTTGAAGTAAATCTATAGCGTCTATAGATGTCATTATCAGAAATGTTAATAAAATAATCTCAAAAGATTTATTAAACAATTGAGGAGGGTTGTCTTAGTCTGGAATTAAAAACTTAAAAAAAGGGAAACACAACTGACTATTTATTTTTTATTTTTATTGTGGCTTGGCCATGATGGCTTTTGAGCCATTCATTTTAAGTGATTTTAGTGATGAAATCAACTTTAAATATGTTGTTCGTATGTTTTGCATCGCTTTACGCTTGAACTGTATTTAATTATATAACAAAAATATCGGGAAACATTATTTTTCAATATTATACTGAAACCATATTAAATAATCTCCACAATACAAAAAGAGTATGGCGACAATTCTAACGAAAAAAAACTATTATTGTCACTGTCATGCTTGTCATCGAATTGTTGTTGTTATTGTTATCATTATATAACATTGTTTGTGCTTAGGTGCATGCATATTGCAAAGATTTCAATCGGCGTATTGTGTTTTTCTGAGATTTGTTTTTTTTATGTGACTTGGACTGTATTTGGACTTTCGAAATCTTTCTCTGCGACTGTGGAGAAGTGCTTGCCTAAGACTTCCGAATCTGATATTTTGCTGTGGATTTTGGACACGATTCTGTCCTATACTGTGGATTTTATTTCATTGTATCTACTATCTACGATATTGTGATCAACGATGTGGAATAAAAAATGTATAAAAAGTGTTGCATATTTAATTAATATCCCATTAGTACATTATTAGAAATCCTTTTTTATACTTTATTATTGCAGTGGGCATTTTCAAATTGTTAAGTACTTCTTACAGCACATACATTGTATTTGAACTCAATAACTCTTGTATGATAATAAGTATTTTGACGCGGTTGGTCAGTACCTACGCCAAAGAAAGAAAGCCAACTGATCATACATTGTAAAAATCATTTTTTTTCGTCACTAATCTTCAGGACCGGTGTACTTCTATAGTTCCTTTCCACGTATTTTTTATTTTGATATAAAAATATTAGCCGCGTCGAAATTTTCCTGGCGTTAAGCTGCAAGGCGTTTTTTCTAGTTTTTCTCATTACATTTGAACGTCTAGTAGTTAAAATAAAAAAATGGGTGCGTGTACTTATGTAGGCGCGTGAGAAGTTATCCTTCTTTGGCATCGTTTAAAATTAGTTTTTAATTGCATGCAAATAATTAATTACAATAAATTAATAAAAAGTCTGGAAAAGGACGAAGTCAATAAAGTTCAGTTTTAATTTGAAAAAATAAATAAATAATCAAAATATTCAATTAAAATCGCTACTGAATATAATTTATTAGAACATATGTGATTTGCACTTGTA